AGATTTTATACAAAAAAACACTCCCAAAAAATTACAAAACATTTGGTGTCATATCCAAATGACAATAAGCAATATCAGTGTATAATTACCCTGACCAAAAATCACAGAAAATTTACAGACATACCCAGGTACTTGATTAGTCCTCTGAGGTCCACGAGATACTCTATGTCTGGAATAAAGAAGCTGTGAATTTTTGTCATATGGGCCACATTTTTTGTGAGAGATCTTGAATGATGGGGACAGAACAAGCAGTCTGTGACTGGTATAGCCCCAACAGCAGGCGTGCTTTCAGCTTCTGCCTGTTCCTCCTCTTCTTCTCCCACACTTTCCATCTCTTCTTCAGAGCCGAAGTCTTCATGAGAATCCATATCTTCCCAGTCTTTTAAAGGAAGTTTAAAAAAAAATAAAATTATATGATTACTTCTCCCAAGCAAAAAAGTACCAGTTAAGTCAGAAAAAGCCATCATAGAAAATACTGCATTTTCAGTTCTTACAGCTAAGTGCCACACAGTCACTTCCAGGTGCAAGAATATACCATTGCCAGTAAAAACACATTTTAAGATGCACAGCAAAGCACAAGGTTGCTCATAAAAAAATTGGCAGATCTGATACTTTTTCCCCTCTGCTTTCTTAGCTATTAACACTTTATTGCTGTTTCCATGCCTCGCAGTTAATTCACAACAGCACAAAACCACAAGAACGGTGCATTAAAAATAAGACACTATCAGGAAAATACTCATATTCAGCAGTGACTCAGCAGTGAGGGAAAACACTCCTGTTCACACACACATCTTTAACAACAGAGAACAATCCCAGCTGTCACAGATGTTACATGTTAGTATATACCAGGCTATAATAAGAATTCTACACATTTGTAGGATTACTGCCAAGCTCATTAACAGATAAACCATCAGATCATACTGCTAGGGGAGTACAGAAGTATTTTTTAAGGAATTTGGCTCTGCGGCAGTGAGCATTTCACAGTACTCTTTCCCTACTGGTTCCCTAAAAAATGCCATGCCTGTTTGAGAACAGGTAACAGGGTGCTTCCCAGCGTTGTATGCTGCTAAATGGAGATCTTTGCTATAAGATGCAGTTCAATAATTTTAAAACCCTGACACTGAATTGACAGAACTTGTAAGAAACATCTCTGGACAAACACTTTAAAGGGAAATTAACATTCAGAAATCTACTGAGATTTTAGCATTACAATTTATGACTAACACATTAATCCAAGACAGGTGCAAATTGACTTCTTTTTTAGGTGTTAAGGTGCATGTTCAGAGGTAAATGTTTCTTCTCCTGTAGAACAGATTTTCTGAACTGCAACTGAAATTTCAGCAGCACAAAACTGCTCTAACAGATGTAGTAACATGACACAGGGGTTTCAGTAACAAAGCTGGCATGAGGTTCCACCTCATTCCTATCTGTCCCCTTGCTACAGTTGAATCACCCCATTCAACTGCTCCAATAGATGTGTTTGGAGCTGCACTGTCAACTACAGCACTGAAAGCATCCAGGTTAAAAAATAACCCTTTTCTGGAAACTCTGAAGTTCTCATCTTTTCAGCTGTCTGCTTTCCAGGCTGACCTTCAACAGAAACCTTTTTTCATTGGAACAAGACCTTTTCTGATGGAAAATACTGCACTTCTACAGAAGGCTTTTGCACAAACCATGGCTTACCCCAAGTTATCCCTTGTCTGTATGTTTACTGCCTTACCTTCTTCATTATCCTCTTCCTCCTCTGCTTGTTGCTTGGCCAGCTTCTTTGCTTGCTGTTCAAACCACTGCAGTCGAGGAGGTATTTCTGGTCGCTCTCTGCTCTGTGCTAAGCTGGCACTTTCCTTAGACACTGGAGAGCTACTTGCATTACTAGGAGATAAATGTGTTTTCTTTGGAGAGGAAGATGGCTGAGCTCTGATGGCTTGCTGAATAGCCGTATTCATTTCATCTTTGTTCACACTCTCTGGGGCCAGCCCCTTTTCCAGGTTCTTCTCATTTAGTATTTTTACCTTCTTGCTAACAGCTTGAACAGCTTTCTTCTCCAACTCCAGGTGCTTCTTGGACTTCAAGTGATTCTCGTAGGCATTGAAGGTGGAGAATCTCTTGCTGCAAACTGTGCAGTAAGTGGCAGTGATTTTGTTTTGCTCCTCTGCTACTGCTCTCTGCGCTAGGACTCTCTCTTGGAAATTCTCAGCAGTGACAGGAGGCATGTCAGCAACTTTACGCTTCAGGTTGTACCTGTGCCAGTCAGTTTTGTAATGGGCACGCTGAATGTCACCATCCTTGAAAGCCACACGGCAAGTGATACAAGTGTAGGTTGCCATTACTAGAAAGCTGGAAAAAAATAAAATCATGCTAAAACAGATTAAGTAACAGCCACAAAAAAACCCCCCAACACGACACCCTGGGTGTGTTATGCACGAGCAGGAGCAAAAGAAGAAACTTATAAAAAACAAACTTTGATGCAGTTACTAGAGGTTACCCATACTACAGCAGCATCTGAGTATCCAAGCTCTGGATGCAGAAAGACTCACTGTGCCTGTCGGGACTGAGACACAGAAGAGGGCTCCCAGTCACAGCAACAGCGTTTCAAAAGCTCTGCACTCTTCACTGAAGATCAGAGATTAAAGGTTCTTAACAAGCTTGTGTTCTGCCAACTAAGATTTTGAGGAGACTAGTGATTGCTCCAAAGTAAGGGTAAAAAGGGAAAACCGCTTTCAGGCCTATTTTCCATTTTTTACAGCCTTACCAAATGGGGAAAAAAAGAAAAGTTCCTGCATTTAAAAATAAAGCTTTCCTAGCTCTTCTGGAGCAGTGCATGTAGTGTTGACAACACTTTACCCTGCAGAGCTGTTCACCTGGAGATGCAGCCAATCATGCCTAGATCTAGCACTTGAAGCCACTGATCTTCCTCCACTTCCAACCATCCAGCTGAGCTATGTTACTGGGGCTGTGACAGGACAACTGGAGAACAGTGACCTGTCACTGATGCTTTCAGTCCTTTCCAAAGCCACACATTTCCTTTCTTCTCAGTGCTTAATGAAACTCAACTTTTTCTTAAAACAAAGCTGATGGAATCCCTTGAATGTTCCAAAAGCAAAGAGTAAAAAAGCATGTTCTAACTGGAGATCACAGAAACCACCCTCATCTTTTAACTGATTTAGAGAAACCATGGCTTAATCAGGAAAAAAAAAAAGAAATAATGCATCAGGATGAGAGGTTCTGAAAGCAGGCAGAGGAAGAGCAGCCCCTCCCAGAAGCTAACAACAGGGAGAAGCAGTGGTAAAAGTCAAAAATACGTAGAGAGTTAAAAGACACATTATGAAATGCTCATACCCTGTAACAACTGGACTCCTTACTTACTACTTGTGTTATCTCTAATGCTACAATGATAGGCAGAAAATAAAGGCCATACTGTTTTATTTGAAATACTATAAGCATCCATTCAGTGTAACACATGCTTTTTGTGTTTCAGAGAAAAATGTATCATCTGCCCACTGAGGGACTCCAATTGCTCCCTGAAGCATTCCCCTCCCACCTGCAGAGCTCCCTGCCCTTTTCCCAGCCCAAGCATCAATCTTACAGCTACAAACCACTGATGCAGAGCCACGTTGACTGTTAATCACCAACTCCTTGCAGAAACCTCAGGGACAGAACAGTCTGATCCGGTCCATGAGACACAGACAGTAGCCACACACTAGATTACCATGGGGGTATTTAAAAACACCCCGAAAAAAACAAAACGCAGAAGAGAAGGAATGAAAGTGACAGAATCTACAGCCATAAATCTTCACCTCTGGCTACTAAGCAGAGAAGTGCTGCATAAAGCTGCATAAAGCTGCATAAAGCAGAAGGCGGCCCTGCAGTACCCTGTGTAGTTGCACCACCACTTCCCATGACCCACCTACATTTTCACCTCCCGTTTCAGGCCAGCAGGCCCAGGCCCCGAGTCCTGCCTTGAGTGGGGCTCGGGAAAAGGAAACCCGCGGCGCTCAAAACCCTGCAGCCCAGGAGGGCACAGCCAAGCCCTGCCAGACAAACTGGGTTCTCCCCCATGGTCTTTATCGCGGGTGCTGCTTTCAGCCGCATTTAAACTGAGCCCGTGTCCCTAAGGCTGACACGAGGCAGAAAGGCCTCACCGGCGGGGTGTGTGTGTTCATTACATGGACACCAGAAGTGCGGGCAAAACTTAAAAATAAATAAATTTTTAAAATAAATAAAATGAGAGATAAGACGTGGCGCAGGCGGCAGCCGGGAGCCTCCAGGCCAGGCCGGGCTCACAGGGAGCCTCCGCCCCAAGGGAGCCGCAGCGCCAGGTCCGCGGCCGGCCTCCCTCGCCACCCCATGGGCACCCCGGCCGCCCACGCCACTCGCATCCACCGGCTCCCGGGCCGCCCGCACACGCAACCGGCCTCTGAGCAGAGGGTCCGGTGCGCGCCGCCCGGCCGCGGGACGGACGAGCCAGAAGCGGCGGCGCAGCGTCCGGCGGAAGGCGGCGGGCGGCCGCGCTCTGCCCCCGGCCGGCGGGAGCCGCGAGACCGGGCAGTGCCAGGGAACGCCTACGGGAGCGGCGGGACCTCCGCTGAAGGGGTTTTACTTTCACAGAATCGATTAGGTTGGAAAAGACCTCTGAAACCATGGAGTCGAACCTGTGACCGAACACCACCTTGTCAACTAGACCATGGCACTGAGTGACACGTCCAGTCTCTCCTTAAACACCTCCAGGGGCGGTGACTTCACCACCTCCCTGGGCAGCCCATTCCAATGTCTGATCACTCTTTCAGTGAAAATATTCTTCCTCATGTCCAACCTAACCCCTCCCCGGTGCAGCTTAAGACTATGTCCTCTTGTCCCATCACTAGTTCCCGGGGAGAAGAGGCCGACTGCCACTTCGCTACAACCTCCTTTCACGTAGTTGTAGAGGGCGTTAAGGTCACCCTGCTTGTTGTTACGGAGTCCTTTTCCATTTTTGGGAATAAACACACGATAAGATGATGAAAGATAAAAACTAACACATATTTATTAAATGCTTTTACAAACGATCAATATAACAGTTCCATGTTTACAAAACAGTGATTGGGCAGGTAAAGTGCTGCAGAATACTTAAATAAAGACATTTTGTAATTCTCCAGTTTCTGGTTGCCCAGGTGGGGGTTACTCACAGACTGTGATGCTGCTTGTGTGCTGAGAATGCATGTGAAGACCACAGGGACTTTGTTCAGAAGGCTGGGACAGCCTGGAAAAAGCCCAGAACGAACACAGAACAAGTAGAACGAGTATCTCTTCAGATCCTATCACTTTGGGTTGCAATAATTTACTCTCCTTTGCATAGAATAGTATTTTTTTTCCTGAACAAATGGAAGAATGGTCAGTAGGTGTGTGGTGCCAAAACATGGAAACCCCATGTGCTGAAAACAGGTGCTTTTGCACTGGATTTGACACACCCATGGCCATCGATCAGATGGCGATCCCTCCGCCTGTCTCTCACATGTACTGACACAAGGGGAAATTTTCTGAGTATGAAGGACTGCACCACATCCCAGAGATGCTGACACACATCATTTTCTCCCAGTCAGGATGCATGAAGAAGCCACTGCAAGGCAAGGGAGTGTGAGCACCCCTTGGTGGAGTAGACCACCTAACACAAGCAGTACCGATCCCATGGCAACATCACATGCTGTGTTGCCGCAGGGCACTTGCTCACACTATGCCCTCCACGCTGCCTGCAGGCCTTTTGACTGGAAATCGCATGCAAGCAGGCTTTCCCTGGAAAAACTGAGTATTTCAAAGTTATTTACTACCTCATACTCACTTGCCTGTCTTTCTGCCCATGTATTCAGTTTGGAAGATGAGAAGGTGATGACCGTGCTAGGTAGGAAAGATGCTGTGGACCATTGTGAGAGGAATTTTTTAAGGAACTGCTATTTTGTGGTTGCTGCTAGAATACAGCAAAATGAAGTTTTCTCAAGGGATTTCCAATTGAAGGCAGTGTAGAAGGTATCCATGAAGGAGAGAAGCGTTTTCTTTGTGTTTTGCTGTCAAACTGCTGGCAGTGGAATGTATCGTATCCGAGCAAAGTGTTTCTTACATGCATTTTTCTAGGAGGGAAGAGATCATTTCCTGCAGAAAATGAGGCATGTTTTCACTACCTGAGGAAGAATATTAGATGTTACAGAATCACCTCCTTCCCATTACACAACGTTTAGGGGCTTGAATGTAATCAACTACCATGAAAGTAGAAAAATACAATTCTAAACACACTCAAATAAGCAACTATGTCCCTAAATTGAATGATTTTCTTTTCAAGTTTTGCTTTCTTTTTTCTTTCTGGGAAAAAGTGAGACCTGTGTTGGAGAAAAATCAATCTATTTACCTGTCTTGAAACCAGAAAATGGGTAATTTACAAAAAGTCCGAGAATATCCTCCAACTGCTTTTCCTCCTGATCTATTATTCTAGAAGAGTGCCCCTGTGTTACGTACTTTTATAACCACAAGTATTCTTCATAAAACAACAATAAAGTGCACACTGTTATAAAGCCACCATTGACAGCCAGTTAGTCTGTCCCGTCAATCCGCTCCAGAAAAGCCCGTGAAAGACTGCTCATTCCCTCATATCTCTCTGTCCCGCAGCCTGTTTCCCCTCCTGGCACCAGTAGTCCTGGATAAAGATTGTTCAGATGTCCTACAAAGTTCCATCAGCAACTTGGATTTGTACTCCTCTAACTATATAGATTGTCCTAAACATGCAGCAACGAAATGACGCTTTTGAGTCATCCAAGAAATTGTAATGGTCTTTAAATTCACTAAATTTTCCAGCAAAAGCTTCTTTTAATTTTGGCTGGGTTTTTTTTGGTTTGTTTGTTTGTTTGTTTTGATTTTTTTCAAATGAGAAGGACAGGTTGGGGAAAGCTAAAAAGGAAACTTAGCAACCAATGCTGTGGAACTGATGTGGGCCGTGGTTGTTAATGATTTCCATAAACTCAGATGTTAAGATAATGCAATGTTAACCCAAATGTTAAGATACTGTAGTTTTGAAAGCTGCATCTTGTAGGATCTATATCCAGCATCCACTTATTTCATAATGTATTTGTTAATGAAGGCACAGGCTTACCTTTTTACTGGTAAAGGACAGCAGACACGGTCAATATGCATTACTGACAGAAAAGCACAAGCAACAATAAAGCTAGTGTCAAAAATTCTCAGCATCTTTCTTTTCACTATACTCTTTTTGGCCTTCTGCCTATTTTTTCATCTCAAAAGGAAAAAAAAATATAAAATGAAGTTAACTTTAACCACAGGTTTACCTACACACATATGTTAGTGGAAGATTTTTTATCGTTTGTTGCTGTACTTTTTGAGGGTCCTAGATGACAGTATTCACCTCTTCAAATGCCAGCAAATGGAAATTTACTTAAGTAGTAGTAGCAGCTGACATGGTCCCTCAACATCGCTAATGGTTTACATCACATTAAAAAAACTAGCTTTACTTCTTCCTATTTCTTGGATTACTATTGCTTGGTATTGCAACTCAGTTTTGTTACAGGTGAACAAAAAAGCCCTAAAAAAATAAGTTATCTGCTTAAGATCCCATGCCACTTACTCAGCATGGGTGGACTTTAAACCAGCAAATGATTTAAACAAATTCTTTTTTGTTTTAAATTACATGCCAAGAAGAAGATTCTGAGTGTCTTCTCTAGCAAATGACCTTACCAAATACTTTTAAGTACCTTAAAATATTCAGCTTGCAACACAACTTTTGTTGCAAGTGGCAGCAGCTATCCTGTAAAAAAAACCAAATTGAAACCTACAGAATCTTGAATTAAGGAAGTGGCATCTAAAAAAGCCTTTATGCTTTTTTTAACCTTTAACCTTTACTCCGAACAATAACTACCCTCACCTGCTCCCATAAAGGTTGTTCAGTTTACACAATATTAACTTTTAAATATAAAAATTCATTGGCTGACTTCACATGGGCAATACTGCCATAGACCAGACTCCATCAAGGAACACAGCAGGTGGTCAGTCAAATAACATGCCACTTTACAATTCTACAAGCCTAGAACAGCAAAAACCTTGGAAATGCATCACCACATCCAAAATAATTCAAAGGTTTTAAGTATGAAATCAAGTTTTCTTTTATAGTGTTGCATACATATTTAAACTAGAGTTGTGCTGGTTAATGTGTTTCATATACAGTAGATGCACTACACATAATCCTAACTGCAGGGATCCATACTTTTTGGTATGATTGAAGGAGGTGAGATGTACTTAATCTCATTGCAGTCCTCTGATAACTTGCCCTTGCTATGTGAGTCATTAGTTGTATTAAAGGATTGGCAAATGAGTAAATAAATTGCTGATGTTGAAAATTTGGCTCAGGACCCCAAAATAAATGGTTGTCAAAAAGATAGAAGAAATCTCTCCCCAACTCTTTTGAACAACTGACCTCCAACACTCATCTGTAACCAAACAGTAGACAGATAATTCATTTCCATGCTATTACATTGAGGTATAACTACCAGAAACATTAAACTATCAGTATCATCTGATATTTATCCAATTAATTCACTCTGCATAAGGGAAATTATAACAACACATCTAAAGGGATAGTTAAAGCTTGCAGCTCAGAATTCTCCTCTTTTTTTTTTTTTTTTTGCATTTGATGATTTTTTTTTGTGTTTTATGTTTAATTTCTTCTATGTTACCAGGTTAATGACTTCCAAGCAGATTTGAAAGAAAGCCTGAAGACTTTTTCTTTTCCTGGGATTCAGCTTCTTGGCCTTGTGAAAGTCCCAATTCTTTCTCAATCTGCTCTAGCTCAGACTGGTCAAGCAGTTCAAAATCATCAGCTTCCTCTGTGTCTGTCTCCTCACTCAAACTGGGTGCTGCATGTGAGGGAGCTTGCAGTGTGGACTGCAACTGCTCTTTGATGGCAGCAGACACCGCGGCTGTGATGACATCACCAGCAATTCCACTCATTAAATTAAAGGTTTGGTCACTGGTCAAAGGCAAGGACAACCCTGCAGTGGGTGGTCTCTCTTTACTCTGTCTGGAAGCGTGATCCACCTTGAAATCTGTTTGCTCTTTTCTTCGTTTTGGATGGATGGGCATTCCGATGCTTGAGTCATCATCATCATTTGTTCCGGCACCATTTTCTAAAGAAGGGAATTCTAAAAGATCTCTAGCGAAAGCCTCTTCATGATCACTAGGTCGGTCAAAATCTATTAGAGGGTTAACAGAAGGAAATACAGTGTTAGCACTCACAAAAGGTTTCCCAAAAAAACAGCCACATGTAAAAATGCAGTTAGTAAGTGTTCCTTTGAATACATTTACTAATCTATACTCTAGTAGTTTTCACAAGCAAAGGAGCTTTGTGTGACATCTACAATAAAATGGTCTTGAGGTTGAAAAAATAGTACCACAAATCACCTGATATCGACCTAACTCTTTGAACAAAATACCTTTTTAAAGTGGTATCTAGCTGTGAAACAACCCATGGAAATCTTTAGCAAAGCTATTTCTAAATATACCAACCACATCAAGTCCTAAAATTTATAATGCAACAACAGACCCCTAACTATTTTTCTTCACAATAAATTACAAATATGTAATTTATGCATGGATGTGTTACAAGCTTTTAATATTCACTAGAATAATAGAAAACAATGTTTATGTGTTTAAATGAAGATATAATATAAAACCAATGTAAAGACAACTTCTAACTTTTTCCTTTCTTGGCCAATACTTGTATTAAATAGGAAACAGAAAATGGAAACTCTATAGATAATCAGGATTGTTTCAGGTTTTCAAGAGAATAAAAAGCAGAATGTAAACAAATAAAACATTAGATTTTATTGGCTGCATTAATGACAAATATTTATTATTAGAAATGTGTAAAACATACTGTGGAGTACATGGCCTGTGGAAGAGGCCTAAATGAGTACAAGGGAATACTTTGATCTAGTATTTGTATAAGAAGGTAAAAAATAATCAATTAGAACTTACTTTCTATGAAAACAAGCAATAGGAAGTTGTTGTAGGACCATTTACAAGGGCTAAGGAAATAAATCCTAAAAGTGTCTCATACGCTATTTTCTCCATTTTCTTTGGGAAAGACAGGTTGGGAAGGTGAGTAGGAAGGGTTGTGCTGTAGGCGGAGTGGTGGCTCAAATGCACAGAGCTTTGGAAGGAGATGAGCCAGTCCTCAGATGCAACCCATTTGGTCTTGTACTTTTGTATGTCCCATTTGCTGAAATATTCCATACAGGAGAAGAGTGGATGCTGTTTATTTTTCACTTAGCAAAGCCTCGAACACAGTTTCCCACATGATCCTTAAAGCCAAACTGGTGAGCGAATGGGGTAAGGGAAGTGTAAGGTGGGTGGAAAACTGTCCAGACTGACAGGGTCAAAGGCTGTGATCAGCACTGTAAGGTGCAACTGGAGGCTGGTTATCAGTGTCTGTCAAAGGTCCTGAAACAAACACTGTTCAATGTTTTTATTAATGACTTGGATGACAGGACGGAGTGTACTCTCCGCAAGTTCACAGCCAGAAAGCAACTGCTGTGGAGCAGGTGTATTTGATATTCTGGAGGTCAGGGTGCCTTCAGAGGGACCTCAACAGGAGGAACAGGCTGAAAAGGAAGATCATGACATTCAGCAAAAGCAAATGTGAAGTCCTGCATCTGGGATGGAATAACCTGTGCAGCAGTACAGGTTGGGGGCAACGAGACAGAAAGCAGCTTTCTAGAAAAAGACCTGTGGACAGCAAGTATGTCCTTTCAGCAAGGAAGGCCAACTACATAATGAGCTATAGTAGCAAAAATGAAGGCAGAAAGTCAATGGAAGGGATTTTTCCCCTCTATTCAGCAACTGAGAGTACACATTGATGTACTTTGTCCAGTTTTGACCTCTCCTGTCCAAGATAGACAGTGATAGACAGGAGTCCCCTGAAGGGCCATCATGATTATTTAGGGGGTTGGAGAACAGGATGTATGAGTAGATGCTGAAAGAATGGGCCTTGTTTGGCCCTAAGAGTAGGTGGCAGAGGAGAAATCAGATAGTTTAACTACTGAATGGGAAGGTATAGAGAAGATGGGCTTGAATCTTCTAGAAAGTACACAGTGAAAGGATAAGAGTAAATTGATACAATCTGGAACATGGGAAATTTTGGCTCACTATAAAAAATTTTTCATTGTGAGGGTGAGCAAATATTGAAAAAGGCAGTCCAGGGAGGTGCTGAATCTCTACCACTGAAGATGCTCAAATTTCAAATGGTCACAGCCCTGAGAAACTTCATAATGCTCTGAATAGAAGCTTGAACCTGCTTTGAATAGGAGATTAGATAAGATGAACAACAATTGCTCTTTACAACTTACGATTCTGTGATCGTACAATGCTGTCTATTTACAACTTGAAATATTAAGAAAATAATTTAAATTACTAATTTGGCATGTATAATGCCACTAAGTAGTATCACTCTTCTTGTCATTTACAGTGACCTTTTTCTAGGAGAAATGCAAGGTAGGCAGAGGACCAGATCCACAGATAAGAGTGGTATTAAGATAATTAAGATAATAAGAGATGTGTATGTAACAACCAAACTACTGTCGTCTGTAATCTTTATTCAGGCAAAGTGCTAACTAATAGCTTGGACTGTAAAAAGTAAAAACTTTGATCTGGTCAAGATCAAGACAAGTGCTTGAGAATCTTTTCCTAGTCTTAGTCTTTAAATCTAATTGAGGCTCATTGCTGGCTCTCTTCATTTGCATTCTAGTAATAAGATCTAATCATACTTTCCTTAATTGGCTGTTTAACAAGTCAAAGTATTCATTTTTTCTTCCTTAGCTTTTATTTGTTTAGCTTAGCCACAAAAGCATTGGCACTAACTTAAAAGGTTTACTTGCTTAAAAGGTTTGGTGGAAGAGAGTGGTAAATCTGGCAGCTATTGAGTGTGTTTGTCTTACCCAGCACTACTGGTTTATTTAGACACTTGTTGATGTACCTTATTATTTTTAAGATGAGGACAGTTCTTAAAAAAAATGTATCCCAAACTATACAAAACACTAACATTAATCTTAAATTCATTTCAGGGTGGAAAGTAACAACTCGAAAAACCTCTGTCCTCAAATTCTCTAATAATTTTCAGGTAACTTGCATGACTGAAATTCATTGATAAGACAGATGAAGCTATTACATACCATCAGATGTGTCTGTCTGTGGAGAATACCCCTCGGATAAGTTAAAGGTCCCATTATCGGTCCAAGATACTTCCGATACATCTGTGTCAGACACTGACATCTCTTTGGCAACGACTGCAGGACTAACCTACATGGAAAAAAGTTCCATACGTGGTATTATTATGTGCAAAAAGTTCACACTATAGGAAGCCAATGCTTAAGATAATGAAAAAAATCCCTCTTGTATGTCATAGCAATATGAATCACATCCTATTTAAGCTTTATTTCTAGAAAAATGAAAATAATAGTATACAGTGCCTAGAAGTGAAGCATCCCTCTTTGTAATCACTGAAAGCTGTATTATACTAAAGAAGCATAAAAAATTCCAGTTATTCATTCTGACAGTAATATCCTACTGTAAGAAAAGCAGAATGAGCCCGCAAGTACAAAATATGCATAAATGTAAAGAAGTAAGTAAACTTGGATCAAAAAACCCAGCCCATTATCTGTAAGACCATAAAAAATTAGTTAAATTAAAAAAATATTATCCTTTGCTAATTTATCCAACAATATTCAATTATGTCAGCTACAAACATATCCCATGGGATTTTTTGTTTCCAGAATACAAAGCCACCTTCAGAGTGATCACTGTCAAAGTCAAGCTTTATACACTACTCATCAAATACTGCATAATAATTTCCATTAGGATTTTTTTATACGAACCAGTGTTCTGATTATAATAGAAAAACCTTTGCCATACAGTTATTTGGAGTACTAAGAGAAAAAGGAGATATTTGAGTGTTCCAACACATATCTAGAATGATATTTATAGATAATATACGTATTTACACTAGCACTGAAAATTAACAAACAAGTGATTACAAAAGTATCTGACAAATTATGTAGGGTTTCTATGAATGTTTCCCTTTTACATTTTAATTTGATAAACATTAACTGCAATTTCACTGTTTCAAATAAAAATAAACACCTTTGCTATTAAATATTAAAATATTTTAATCATTCTACAGCCAATACAAAATAAACACATTCTTAGCTCAGTAGGCCATATTAAACCATTACCTTGAAGGCCAGAAGTCATAAATGCAGTAAGTCAGTTAGCATAAGCCTAAAGGTGGAGACTATGAATCACTTCTAAAACATACTGCTTAGTTCAGGAACACAGCCTTCTGGGCAGGTTAAAGTCTTCCACAGAAGAACAGAGACAGTAATCTAGATAGTCTCCCATTAACTATATTGATCTTAAAAGCAAGACAGGGATGACTGAAAAAAAGTCACCTTAGGACACAGAGCTGATATGTCTAATTCACTGTCATCTTCTGTGGGTTTTGTTTTTGCTGTTTCTGAAAGAAAAAAAATATATTTTTTATCCTACTCATGACAATGGATTCCCAGGTTCAGTGTGTGTTCTCTGTCACACAGCTTGTGTAGCACAATAACCTTCCACCTGCTGACGCAGTGCATCCTTAATGTAATATGCTACTCAGGAGAGGGAAACAAGGTTGAGTCAGAGACTGGATGCTTATCAAAAGACATTGTGCAGCAGCCAAAGCAGGAGAGATAACGTTGCTCTGAAACGCGTTCCAACAAATTTCTTTACCTGCATTGTACTTCCTTCAGGAGCGTCTGTCGCTCACCATAATGTTACCTGTTGCTCACCATAATGTTACCTGTCCTGGCAATAAATGTCTATCTTTTAAACTCCACTGCTGGTACAATGGACAGGTTAATATATTGCTAGAACAGGCTGTGTAGTTATCCCACCACATTACTTCTACATGAGAACATGCAATTTTCTGGATAATTGCATGTAATCTTCATCCACTAAACCCTTCTTCTTTGCGCCCAGCTACCCTGCATTCACAGTCATATGCAAAGAACCCTCTGAAGTCTGGGAGAATGTTGGTCTTTGCAGATGAGCAGAGACACAAATCTCACCTCCTCTGTCTGGGAATCTTTTAAACCGATATAAACCGAAACACACAGTCAGAGTATTCTTGGTTGCTTCTTTTTGCAACTTGCTTTTTCCTCTCTTGTGCCAGCACAAGGGCTTGTGAACCTATGTGGTGAACCCACGTGCCAAAGCAAGGTAGGGGACCCTGACTGGATTAAATTAAACTGCAGGGCAAGATGCAGGAAAGAACGCATCTAACCTCAATCATTTTCCCAGTGCTGGCTTATGGAATTCATGAAACAAGTCTAAACTCTTCCTCTGCCAGTTTCACTTAAAAAAACTGAACAATGTAAAATAATACATGAAGGAAAATTTTCAATGCATTATTCCTTATTTCTGGCAACTACTGCATTACACATAAGAGAAGGGGAAAAGACAGACGGTGGTTCTCATTGGGTCTAGGAACAGCACATTGCATGGTTAATGGTTACAAGAAATACATGTTTTAGAAGCAGATGTAAACTAACTAAAAAGGGTAGGCTACCTGCAAGTAATGGACTACATTACAAAGGTTTAATTATCAAATGTGCACAAAAACCAAACTAAACATAATACTGTTCAGATACATATTTTTCTTGAAATAGCTTTATTGCTTAAAATCTGAAAGTTTCCAATGTTAGGAAAATTTCAGGTGAGAGTTGAAATTTTGTTTTAAATTGATTTCTCCCCTTTCCACCTAAAAATTTTTATTAACTTGTAGCTACTATCCTATGGCAGTTCTTAAACGCTTTTTGAGTATTTGGGGAAGAAAACAAATTCTTTCTGCTGTGGGGAGAGAAACCAAGGAGGATTAAGATACTGGAACAGTGTTTTGTCTCTTATTGAAAATTCTGTTATGCACTTATTTTGAGACCCTTAAGTGAGTCTGTCTCCTGGGTAAGTTTGCCTTATCTAAACAGCTACAAGCATTGCATGCTTACAGCAAGTTTTTTCAGAAAACTTACAAGCAGTACATCTAATAAAGTATGAAGAGCTTGCCTTGCTTCTTTCTGTGAAATAGTAATTTTTGTTATCATACCCAGACGTCTGACATACACTGTCACCCCTTATAAAGCTAATAACAGTACCAAGGTTAAAAGCAAGAAATATCTTTACGACTGGCTTCTCAGGACAAACCCAACTGTCTGCAAGGTGAATAAAATTTTCTCTGCATACAGAAATACATTATTTGGGACTATAATTAATTACTCACCAAATCTCTCTTTTTTCTTCTGGTTGATATATTCCACTATTCCAAAATCTAGTTTCATCAGAACAGCCTTAATTTTGCTGTACACTTTCTGTCCAAATTCATTGCACTTAAGGAAGGGACACAAAAAGGCACACAATACTGTGACAAAAATGAAGACAGAGAAAAATTGCATTGAAATATCGCTGTATAAGAAGTTAATAAAGCTTAAACAATGCCTCTGCATACAATAACTACTGATTTTACATAATACAATTAGTTCACATAAAAATGCGCTGTGAAATGCCCATATCAGACAAACTGTTAATGTCAAATTCAGTTTCCAACAGCCATTCTTACTCATCACAGAAAATACCATTGCATTCCTATCAATTGACATATTTTTTATTTTCAGTAAGGTACAATTTATGATCATTATATCATTTATCATCATCTTGACTTAGCCTGATTTTGTTATCTTGACCTGAGAAAACATGATTATGCAACATTGCGCCGGAATCAATATGTTGAAAAAAATAGTAAGCTGACTTCCTTGTGACAAAATATTGTTAAAAGTTTCTTACTTATATCTAATCTAAATTGACCGTCTTTCAGTTTAAACCTCTTGTCCTAATGCAACAGGCCATGCTAAAATGTTTGTCGCCATCTTTCTTATATGCCCCCTCTAAGAACTGAAAGGCCACAAAAAGGTCTCCCTGTAGCCTTCTCCAGGCTGAACAACCCCAACTCTCTCAGCCTGTCTTCACAGGAGAGTGCTCCAGCCCTCTGATTATCTTGGTGGCCTCCTTGGACTTGATCCAACATGTTCATGTCTTTCTTGTCCTGGGGAACCCAGAACTGGATGCAGTACTCCAGGCAGAGCCTCACCAGAGCACAGTAGAGTAGAGTGGAGTAGATCTCCTCCCTTGACCTGCTGGTCATGCGGCTTTGGATGCAGTCCAGGATACAATTGGCTTTCTGGGCTCTAAGTGCACATTGCTGGGTCATGTCCAGCCTCTCAACCACCAGCACCCCCAAGTCCTTCTCAGCAGGGCTGCTCTCAATCCCTTAATCCCACAGCCTGCATTGATACTGGAGGCTGCCCTCGACCCAAGTGCAGCACCTCGCACTTGGTCTTGCTGAACCTCAAGAGGCTCCCATAGGCCCACTTCTCAAGCCTGTCCAGGTCCCTCTGGACAGCATCCTGTCCCACAGAGATTGGTGTTTTCTGGAAACTTGTATGTGTGTGTAAATAGATATAAATAAATAAATACTTCCTATATAGAGATCAAATAATGAAGAAACCACATACACAAATAATGACTGAAAAAGAGACTATACTTACACAAGACATAGGAGAGGACAACTCCAGGAATGTAACTTCCCAAGACAGTGAAAAATGTACATATGCTGCAGACTAGTAGGCAAAACTGGTAAAAACATTAAAATTGACCATTAACACTTTCACTATTTAACTGTTTAGATAATTTTGTTAAAAAGAAAAATGTTGCATGCTAAATCATAACTAGAATTCAGCGCAAAGTTGAAGATTTTAATTTTAAACTGGGAAATACTTTTAACGCTTCTGGTAAAAATAAGCATCAAACATTCCATTTTGGCTAATTAGGATGCATCCCCTCTTCTATTATTAAAAACATGCTATTTTTATTCATTTACTGTAAAGGTTTAACAAGCTCACGGTTATTGCTAAAATCAACAGAAATTACTTCACCCTCATTAGAAAAAGAAAGACTGAACAGTTTATATGCAGGAAAAACAACTCACTAATTGCAATATTACAATACATACTTACTGCATGCTTACAAAAGCAAAACATCCTTCCTATAGCTACAGTTCTCTCCCCTGTTGTGTTACTTCGTGAAACTGTTTTCTCTCATATGCTGGCAAGCATTCTCTTGATGCCTGTTGGCTACTCTAGCATCCCTGTTAATGACAAGACTGAGCTGAATTTTCAATATAAAATTCAAGATTTGGTCTTTGTGGTGACTGAGACATACAGTGCATCTTTCACAACTGCACAATGCTGAGTAGAGAACTGATCTGTTGGAAGTTTACAGATAGAATCTATTTGCTTTTGGAGCTAAACTGCAATAAAATGGCTATTTCAGAAAAATTTTGCGCACAGCACCACTGCCTAATTTGCTTCTAATTATAGCAGTAAAATAATGGCACGACTTAGAGAATGAGGTCAGGAAAAAGAAGGGAAAACATGCTGTCAAAATTAGCTTTTCTAAACCCATATTAGATATACCTTAACATACAGTTACTGTGTCATGTTACCACATGACAGAATTATGGGATTGTGTATACTGATACTGCATTTCCTTACTTCATTATATACATAATTCTTTTAAGTACATTTATTGTCCAAAGTATATTTATTTATATACTATTCATATACTTTTAAGCATATTTATTTATTTATTGTTCAAACATATAACTCCTCTTTGTATAATTTATTCATTTTTAAAAGATATTTCATCCTGTTGCTCATCTGTATTTCCAGTCTAAACTGCTAATATTTGAGCGTGGTACTACATACATTCTGTTTGCTAATTCTGAATGGCATATTTTCAGGAAGATTTTGTGGTAAAACTAACCAAGATTAAAAGAGGAGAAAAAGCCTCCTAATCTCCTTTTAACTTGTATTTAGCAATACAAATATAAAAATGAAATCTACTATTGCCATAATATACTTCTACATTATTTATATTATTCTTTGGGGAAAAAAAATCTGCTTCACTTTTGACTAGAACTAAGTAATGATATTCTTCCAAGTTGGAAGGAAAAAAACCTTCGTCTTGCTTGCCTCTTCATGAACTGGGTTCTCCAGCTCAGTCTTTCCAGTAAAAAAAAAGGAAAACCACCAACTATAAGTGTATAGAAGAAAAGTTATCACAGTAAAATATGAGGAACTCTCTTCTTACATTAAATACTTGTGCAGCTATTCCTGAAGACTACAGTTATTTGAGGGGGAAAAAAAGTTTATGTTCAGGTACATGCCTATATGACTTTTTTTCTTTTCAAAGTTTTTATTAAATTGTTATGTTTTAAATTTCCTTTAAAAAGTCCATGGAATAACTGGTGAAGTTCCAACAGCTGCATGGGAAAGGACTGTATTGCTATGAACTTTACTGTGAACAGCTTTTCTCACTGACTCCCTACCCATGTTCTCCACAGCACAAAAAAGTTAGCAAAAAATCATGACTTAATGTATCAGAATGTGCATTTTATTTTTCAATTTTTCTGCTTGCTGGCTTGTTTGTTTTTTTTTTTTAAATTTATCTCACCTTTTTATTAAACCATATAGAACTGTTAATCTCACTTGGGAGTGCTTACCTTGCCAGGGTTTTGTTCCTTAAAGTGGGACATTTCTTGAAGAAATACAAATAAATTCATCAGTGTTTCTGAAATGCACTGATTTATTCTGAGTCTGTAGTCTTGCCTGGAATCGATGACTTTCCAGCTGAGTAAAACAAACAAAAATACCCAACTTTGTTTACAGCTCATATGAAAGTTGAAACTAGTTGAAAACACCATGTTGTAAAGCCATAGCCTCTGGCAATCCAATGGCTGCTGCTATGCTAGAGACACCTGTGCTTGTTTAAACATATTTTATATAAGGCTAATTTGACCTTTTTAAGCTAAAAGATAATCTGTTCAGTAGTAGCAATTCTGAGTCTCCATGCAAGCAATTACCGAAGAAATGACTGCTTATTCATCATGGCCATACAAAGACAGTGAGTTCAAGGGGCTGTCATCTAAATTAAGCAAATGAACCCCAAACTTGTTTTTTAATATTATTTTTCTTTAAAAAATATACCACAGTATTTTCATTGCCAAAGGATGGCCATACATATTAACACATTTAATTTCATGCATATAATCCTTCTGTTTTTTCTTTTCTATTTTTTGTCTTGCTCTGCAAACTATCATGATGAAATTGTTATCCAACCTAGAAAAAAATTGCTCTTGAAGTCTTGATTCAGTTCCTTACTGAATTTTAATTTTTCTATTTTATTGAAAGGACTGTTTCTAAAGCTTATCTTATGACTGTTCAGTACTTTCAATAAAATAACACTCCCCCCTCCCCAAAAACTACTGAAGAATTTGCTGAAACCCATTTGAAAGCATATTTGGGGCTGAAAAGTTTAGACAATACCCAGTTTAAATGGTCACATTGTATACCTTTGTGAAGTAGACAAAACAACTACAACAAAGATGTTTATAAAACAACAAATGAAAAGAAAAACACAGACTGGCCAGTCAGTGTCAAATCAAACTGGTACAAAGTACGGATGAACCACTGTGCAAACACTGAGAATCTGAAGTAAATTCTACACCAGTTGTCTTTTGCATAATATACTGCTGAGTACACACAGCTTCAATTCCAGTGAATGCAAGTCAGCCATGAACTACCCCAGCTATTTTATGGGATACATAACCCATTACATGTCCTGTGCATCACTGCCTTAAAAGTAAACATTCTGTGATGAGTGGATTGAATTACAACATAAATCAAAATCTAAATTATGGAAAAAAGCAGCTATACAATTGTTGGTGCAGCAATAACACCACACTCACAGACTGTCAGATCAAACTGCCAACTCCTATCAGATACACAATCTCTGCAGCCTTATTTTTGTAAAAAATCAGAACAATTTCAGTCAAAAATGCCTAGTTACACACCCACGGAGCCCCTTCCCCTTTCTCATGGCTGTATTCGGTTCGCCACCAGGTGGTGACACAGCAGCGCTAGGACCAGCGCAGGGATCGTCATCACACGGGACAGGAGCAGTGCAGGGGGGGTCTCAGCATCAATGCCCAGGGCACCGTGACCTACAGAAAACTGCTATTTCAACCACGGGGTAAAACTGAAATCAGTGTCTAACTCCTGACTTTATTTTAGTATTTATTGCGCTGCAGTGGTGTGATTTCTTCTTACATTACAAAACAATCAAGGTGAAAGATTTTTTTCCCCATTTTGAGAATCAACAACGACCTATTTAAAATAGTGTACCTCGAATGCATAGGGTGACATCCCCATGTCTTGGACTAGGTGACTTTTGCAATTTCCCAGCCATGCATGGCACTGCATGCAAGTATTTACCCCTGACAGAGGATGCAAATAAAACCATAAGGGAACTCATGGAGATCACTGCAGGAACCCAGCTAGAGGGATCAGCACAGTTACACAGAACTTTATATCTGTGTCCCATCCACAACAGAGATTTCAATTTTCATCATCTCTGACACTTAGTTGCTTTAGAAAAGTAGCATACAAGGGTTTTGTCTTATAGGAACTGCAATTTTCATAATAGGATAGGCTTCCCCTTAAAGAAGCACTGCTTCCAGCTTTTGTAAACCATTCTGCACCATTAATCAGTATTTCAAGAGTTGCCTGTTTATTCCAGTGTTGAAAACCTATTATGACAGTATTCTGAATTACAAAATCCTTTTACAGATTTTTACCCTTTATTTAAAATGGTTGACAATCGAAGTTAAGCTTAGGGGGAGCACAGAGCAAAAACAGATAGGCCTGATGCCTACTATCAAATCAGAGCTTTGAAATATTTAGGACATTTGTAGATAGTCATTTTACTAATTTTAAGTTAATAGCAAAAACCGAGGGGGGGAAGATGAAAGCATAAACTACAATAATAATGCAAACTATTTTCATATATGCTAACCACTAATATAAAGACAATATAGATTAGAGAGGAGAAGGTGTAATAAGGTACAGTGGGATAACTAGTAACAATTCAAAATAAAAACACAAATTATGCAGAAAAATGGCACATTTGTACAGAAAGTATTCTGGAGTTGCTTTGTTTGGTTGTTAGTAATGCTTTCTTTAGCCAAGGTGTTGAAAGTATAAGCTGAAATTCAGATTAAATTTAAAGTAAAACCCTACATGTTTTGGTTCTGTAGTCCACGTGTAGTGCATTGACAAGAAGACAAGTAAGAAGAGTGGGTGGTACCGGTGAAGTTTGCTTAAAAATACTGCAAACCCTCAACTGAGCTCCACAAAAGAATAATTGGCAGTTTTTTGTAAGCCACAAGAAATCATAAGACATCTTTGTCAGTTCTACTATAGCCACAGTTTTCTAATTTGCAGGGAACGCCAGGGACTATTCTGAAGCCTTATTCTGTTCTTACACAATTAATGGTGTAAGAAAGTCAGCTTGCTGATTTTCAATGTGACAATCAGATGCATGTGCTACCTCTTCTTGTTCACATCTCTCAACAACTCTCACATCTCTCAACAACTACCAGCCCTGGTGACATCTTTCCCAGAGCCCACTTGAACTGCAGTGCTACCTGGAGACCAAAGGGTTTGAACAAGGGGAAAGCAACAGAGATCTTTGTGAAGAGGGAGTGAGAAAGAAAGGAGGTCCCTCATATAACTGTCTGTACAACATACAGTGGTGTGTATGCAAAGATAGAGAGGTTATGTCATGCCCCTGTATATTAGTGGAGTTAACTTACAGTACCCTAATAAATGACTTAAATGTGAACCCTATATTTCCTGCCGAAACAGCTTTTGGTACTCCTGTCCAGGTGCTCCTTTTGGGATATAAGCAGCCAGCTGTCCCTGAACACCTTAAAGGCTTTTGTGCACAACTTAGAAAGAAGAAAGTTTTATGTCCCATCACTTATCCTGAGTTTCATATGAAGTGCTACACTTGCATTCTAAAACTACTGTCAGTAAGACTGAGGGTGTTCAGAAAGGAAATAAATTACTCACATCTTTCTGACTGCCTATGGCCTCATTTCTACAACTGAGCAAATACATACACTGTTGCCTGGTAGTTGCAAAAAAGCCTACCCAAAACACACTCCTGCCCAGACGCTTCCACCAATCACAGTCACAAACTCTGGCCAGAACAGTCAGTGGCATTACATTCTCTAAAAATGACTGATGGTGTCATGCTCTCATTTTGTATCTGGACATCTGTTCAAGCAAAGCCCCATCACATTTCTCTCAGAAAGGTCAGCAGATCTCATGTTACTGCTTTAAAGATCTTTTCGTGATGTGCTGGATTTTTTTTTAATTATGTGCATACAGTTTTATATGTATCTCCTGTAGATATGCTACTCAGAACTGCAGCAGTGACAGAGTACACCATGATGCACTGGAGCTGAAGGACTGCACCTACATAAACACAGAGTTAGTAATTATAGAGCTTCTAAACCCTCTTGATTTCCCAACTGTAACCACATGTGCTTGAAGCCGGTACAGACTGTAATTTTAAGGGTAACTTAAAACGTATTAGTCAAGGCGGAAGAGCTGAAAGTTACATTCCCAAAGATATATAAATCTAGTAATAGGTAATATGGCTATTTTGTAGCTTTTTAAAAAGAGTATCTAGAACTTACAGAATGGTGTAACTTAAGGGAACTGGATACCTAAGGACAAACAGGCAACCAGGAGTTCAGTATGAAATTCAACCAAATGAAATCCAAAGTATAAGCTGTTAGCAAAACCCAGTCAAGCAGGTTTACCTTTTCAGAGCTTCAACAGGTCTCTGCTTTGAGGAAAGAAATCACCTCACTGCAGAGGGAAGTGATCATAATAATGCAGTTATTCTCTCCAAAACATAAAATAGTGTAAAAAGCACATTTTACAGTTAAGTGTATTAATGTGCAAATAGCAAACTGTCTAAAATCTACTATTGAATTGTGTAGTAGAAAACAATGCACTATTGATTAGCCTTATTGAAACACAATGTAACAAATTTGTGGATGTTATGTGCACTATGTGGAAAGACAGAATGGCCAGCACCACTGAACTCACAGCATAGCATCTTAATGACATACGTGGCTAATTTTAAAGGTGATTATGGAGAACCGTGCTCTATCCTGTGCCACTTTTGGATCCTATGCAATCGTTAAATATACTAAAATAATTATATTTGTGTCATGTGGCTATGACCTAGTCAACAAGACCTGCAATTTAAATGAATCACTGGGGCACCATGTAAAATCCTGCTTGCTTCAAAGACTTCCTCAAAAGGATGCTGTGTCACTGAAAGAAAAAGCAATACAGGAAGCATCCACAAACACAACTGTTCTCAGACTTCAGGAAGAACCTTCATCTACAACCTTCTTGCTACAAACTCTGCCAAGCTTTTCTAATAGAAATCTCTCCAGCTTGTAGATATCCATATGCACTTTATTTCCCATTGCTAATCTGTAGGTGCTGTACAGGTTTAGGCTCAGCAATGTGTAGTACTATGGCAAATATCCTTTAACTGATCACAATTGACCATCCCTTCAGTGTTGAGGCTTGGACACACTTGGAATCTCTAAGATATACACACAGATCTTGTTTTTAAATTAAAGTCAGAGAATGTAGTATCAACCTCAAAGAGAAGCTAACAATATTTCCCAGTTAAGAAATTTCTTTTAATTATAATATCTCCTGTAGTTCAAATACATTATTTGTAATATCTAAAGTAATTG